GGAAAATGGTTTCACTTGATTATTCCATATGAAATTATTTCCATCAGAGCCTTCTCCAAATGAAGTTTTTCCTTGCACTTGGGCAAGTCAGTGCCACGTTTCTGTTGTATTTCTGTCAGTGCCTTGCCTGGGTACCCGTGCTGATGCCAGAGCAGCACACACAGAACACAGATCTCCAGGGACCAGGCTGCCCGTCCTCAGCACTGCCCAACACTGCTGCAAAGAACTTCAAACCAGAGGCACCATTTCTCCTTTCATAAATGTACTGAGAAAAAAAAAAGGAAAGCTTTGGTTCCAACACCAAGAATTTTGTGAGTAAAACCTGTTCTTTTCATTGTTTTACAAACATGGCAACTTTCATTATCTTAATAAATTAACAAGAAAAGACATCTCTGTTGCAATCACGTTACATAAACATCTCACCAATAGAGATATATCATTAGATTATATTTTAAGCTCCCATATGTCACTAGAATTCATGCTGAAACCACCTTACAATGCAATCTTTATGACAGATTTCTGTGGATTAACCAGTTTCCAGTTTTCTCTGACATTTTGTTAAAACTTTAATACTCTAAGCACCGTTGGTTGACATCCTTTCTGCCACTACTTTTGCCAAGCACGAGCATATGCTCCAGCACAGCAAAGGCTGCTCTTTGGTTTCTGTGTTTTAGCAAGAAAAATATTTTGCATTGATACTGCACATTGTTTTAAAAGTACTAAGCTGAATAATACTTTATTTTATACATGTGGGACTTTGCTTCCACGTGTTTAAGCCATGATATCTCCCCAAGGCTGGGGGTTTTATTTGTTTTGATTCCCACACCCCCACCCTGAGTCGCCATTTACCTCATTATTTCTCAGTTCTGAGAGGCCATTTCAGGTGTAAAATCTGGAATTTCATTTTTTCAGACCACCTCTCCAGTGAGATGAACCTGCTAAAATCTGACTCTATCCTTTCAAGATACACAAATGTTTTGAAAGTTTCAGAATTTTCAGATCATTAAATGAAAACACCGAAGATGGACTTGATAAAAAATTGTTTCCTTCCCATACAGTCAATAAACACGTTCACGTTATTTTCCAAATGTGGTTTTCTCTAATCTGCATTTCCTCACCTTCTTTATAAGAATGTCATTCAATACAACATAAGGAACCTTATTAATGTCAAAATGTAGGACATCTACTGCCTCCAGCAACTAACTCTGCTGTTCAGAAATGGTCCAGGCTCCACCACATGGGATCCACTCAGGAACAGGAGTGTTGGGTTCCAAATGGAAAAACAGTCCCCCAAAGAGGAGATCTTTGCCTTGGCAGAGGGGAGATGCACACAGCTGACCAGCTTTGCAGACCACAGCTTTAAAAATACTTACTGGGAAAATAATTCTTTTGCTCATTTAAAAGCATGACCATTTCCAGCCCTTGCTGTGAGTGCCCAGGGGTGGTTTGTCTCTGCAGACTGTGCCCCTGGCAGTGGCTCTGTGCTGGCAGCAGCTCCAGGGCTGCTCCCTTGGCACAGAGGGTGCAGGGTCCCACTGAGCTGCCAGCCCTGCAAACACTCCAGGGCAGGTTTATTAAGGAAGGTTTACAGTAATAACGAGAGCAATCCCTTTTTGACAATTCCAACACAAGAACTGAGAAAGCAAATCATGGGTTCAGATGGGACCATGAGCAGTGGGAGGGATGGCACTGCCCAGGATGGGGCAGGGCAGACACTCACACTGTTTAACTCCAACATCTGCACCACAGAGCAGGACACGTCTCTCCTCTTGTTCACACAACCTGCCTCATCACCCTTTTTTTACCCCCAAATATTCCAAGGTGGAAACAGAAAACTTGTATTTTCAATCCAGGCTGAAAAACCCCTCCACTTCTAAATATTGTATTTTATATATAAAATTATCTTCTTATACTTCACTCTAAAAACCTGAAAGCTCACATCATCAACATCAACCATACATAATGTGAACTGTGGGTTACTTTTTAGGAAGATGGGAGCCTTTCTTCCTGTTCAGAAAAGGGAACTTTGTCTAAGCCATCAACCCCAATATGCCACCTGTTCTCTCTAAAGTACCCTCAAAGTTACACAACATTTTTTTAATTCTTTACTATTATCAATTTTCAGAGAAGTCATACAGAGCATAGAGACAGGTAAAAAATGGATGTGGAATGAATAACCCTGTCCCCTACATGAAATATTCAACCATTAGCAAGATTTATGGAAGCACAATCATGCTTCCATAAACCAGCGTCTGTCCTTACAAAACAAAGTTCTGGGATATCTGTCTGATCATACTCATCCCAAGGTCTTTTTGCACCAGCTCGAGCAACTTAAAATGCAACAAGATGTAACTCAGCTGCAGACACTCAGTAAATAACACCCAATAATTTCCTCATCCAAAACTGCTGCCAATAAAGAGAACTTAAATTATATTTAAACATGTTCAACCAAATTGTTACATTTATTCTGAAAAACAGATTGAAATATAATAAAACCAGTTTTAAAAATTAGTATTTATTTTTGCATTTCTCCCCTCAGTTGTAATGCTGTATTGTTGCACTGGGCTGTGCTGAGGGATTCAGAACTGTCAGTCAGGAGGGATTTCCTGCTGTGAACATCGAGGCACTGGTGCCAAACTGGGCAGAGTGACAGTGACAGGAGAAGGGTCCCTGTGAGGACACACAAAGCCCCACAGCCCTTGTGCAGATGGTCAGTGGAGCAGAGCACTCACACTCTGCCATCCCAGAGCAGGACCAAGAGGGGAGTGCCCAGGTGTCCCCGTGGGCAGGAAGGGTCATTGAGCCCCCCTGGCACAGGGGGACAGCACAGCTCTGTGGGAACAGCCCCTACACTGATGGCACGTCCCCATTCCCATCCCGGGGGCTGGAATACAAATCCAGGCACCAAAGGCTCTGGATCACCAAACCTCAGCCACCCCAGGCACTGGGAGAGCAGCAACCCTGAGCCCCAAAGAGGGGACACCCCTCCCAGCGTGTGTTCTGTGCAACAGGGACAGCTTCAGGTGAGAACATCCTGTCTGATCCCAACTTCTTTACACTGGGACAGCTTCACTCAAGGTTTGTTTGATCAGATTTTCAGGGGAGATGAGGACTTTGCATCTCTCTCAGCTGCATCGACCAGGACACCACACTGACTTCAGCTGTCCCTGACAGGCCAAGGCAGAACTGAGAAGTTCCATGAACACTGTGGGAAATAACAGCAACTCCCCAACAGATCCATCCTGCTGCAGAAATAACAGCAACTTCCCAACAGATCCATCCTGCTGCAGAAATAACAGCAACTCCCCAACAGATCCATCCTGCTGCAGAAATAACAGCAACTCCCCAACAGATCCATCCTGCTGCAGAAATAACAGCAACTCCCCAACAGATCCATCCTGCTGCAGACAGCTGCAATGCAGGGACAGATCCTGAGACAACCAAAGGGCTCAAAATAGTCCAGGTTAAAACACACAGAGCTCCACATCAGCTCATCTGCCCTTCTTTGAGTTTGTAAGAACAGATGTACACTATCTGCTAATTATCTTCCTCTGTGCAACTGATTCTGATATTTTGCTCAGATATTTTTACAGCACACTTTGATATTTTTATCATGATTGGAAAAACAATTTAGATAAGGAACGATCTAACTAAAAGGCTTGCCTAGTCATCATTCTCATAATTATTTAGGGCTTACATTCATCCTTCCTTTGGAAGCAGTTTGTAATCTATTCTGAACAGCTCACCAGGGATGACAGTGCTCGAGCTGAGAGCTGAGCTCACTCCTTCGAAGGTCACACACTCTCGGAACAGCCAATATTCACAAGCAAATCTGGAGATATATTTATAACAACAGAATGACAGGCCTTTGATACAAGGTATTACCTCCTTTTCAACAGACTGAGTTCCTTTTTGGCTGGTCAAGTGGCCTCATGTGTTGGCTCATGAACATGTGGAACCAACGATGTCATATTTTCAGTCCCAGCTGGAGTGTCCCTAGTGAGCTTTGTTCTACCTTCTGGCTAAAATACTTGCCACAATCATCCAAATCCCTGAAGGAAAAAAGGATTTAGAAACAAAACAAATTCAAAAACAAAACCACACAGAACAAGCAGCTGCTCTAGGCTGTCTAAATCCCTGTGTTTAAGGCAAACATGCTGCATTCCAAAGCACGGTGTTTCTCCAGTAAGAGCAAGTGATACACAAAATGGGATTGTTCCTGCACAACCTGACACCCTGCTCATCTCCAGAGCCACGGTAACACCACAGGACCATTCACAAGAACACTTCCCTGTGCCAAGAACCAAACACAGGAGTGGCCAGAGGAGCCTGGCTCAGGAGGTGCTGGCTGATGCTCCAGCAGGGAACACAAGGGCACCAGCCCCTGCAGAAAAGCTCATCTCCCAACTGCACATTTTATACCCAGAAAAAAAAGGGCTGCACTCCTCAGGAAGCAGAAAAAACAGAAAAGCTGCTTAGAATACAGCAGTGCTTTATGGAGCAGTATCTCACAGGTACAGCAATACAAGAAAGCACTTGTTTACAAAATCAGCTAAGTAACTTTTTACTGTATTTAACTGCCTACTTTTCTGCATCATCTTCATTACTATTCTATCTGTAAACCAGTGAGTTTACCCAGTGAAGAGTGAGCAAAAGCAAGACCTTGGTTGATTCTATCTGACCACTAACACCACACTGGACAGTTGTTCAGAAGACCCAAGCTCAAGTTTTAATCAGCCTGCAGAGCTCCCTATAAAAGCAAACCAATTTAAGAAAGCAGGAAAACATGTGAAGATGCCTGTTCACATATGGCCATTAGCACTACGAAAATCACCCTTAAATGATAATTACATCACTGCTTTTACAATTTGATGTTCTGCAAAATTACAGCCATACCATTTGTAACAGGTATATCGACCTCAATTCTCAAATATCTTTTATTAAATTCCTTAAAATCAAAAGCAAGTTGGCATCCAGCCACAGAACAGAGTCTCCCTGAGTACAGTTTCAAGGCCAAGTAAGAGCTGGTACATATGTAAATATGTGCACATAGGAGCTCACTGTTCAGTTACAAAAAGACTTATCTTCAAAAAAACGTGACTGGAAGTCTGTTCATGCCTCACTCAGCAGCACAAATCGACAGAAACAGGCACAGTACAAATGCTACTTATATTTGCATCACTTTCAAGATCCCCATTCAAAATAAAGGGCTTTTTTTAAAGTATGATATTTTTTAATATATAATTTTTGTATGTAAAAATAGGAAAATTGAAACGCTGACAAGCATTTTGATCTCCCAGTCATCTTCTCTCAGATTTCTAAAATTTCCCATGTTTTGCTGTGTTCAGAATTCCTTTACACTTATAATGAAACACACAGATACAACAGTTAATAGCACCATTTTATTTTTTTAAGAATGCTACCATATTTAGCAGACACCTGGTAATTTTACAATGAAAGCACGTTTCCCACAGCTGTACAATAAATTCCACAGTAGTATCAGCAGTACATGAGGAGTCATTGAAAGGGGAAAAAAAAAAGGAAAAAGGGGTGAAAAGAGGGAAATGGGGGAAAAGGGGAAAAAAAAGAAGGAGAAAAAAAGGAAGGGGAAAATAAGGAAGGGGAAAATAAGAATGGGAAAAGGGAAAAACCGAGAAGGCTCTGATGTACACAGCACCCCATAGGGTAAAATGCATATTTTGGACATAGTGAGATAGAAGTTTTTCTGCCATCATGGAAAAATGTGAAACCCACTTCTTTAACACCATCTTCCCATAAATGAGTAAAAATAGAGATAGGGAAAAGATAATTCTTCTTGGAGAGCAAGAGAACAGACTTTTATGTTGGTATAACCAGTGAAAAATATCATGCATTTACCTCTACCACTGTTGATCCTTCAAGACTTGCAGAAAGTTGTTGTTGAAACCTGAAAGGAAAATAATCCTCTAGTTACTACACGTGTACAGTGCCACCACCACCTGCTCCAGCAAGAGAAGTGACTTACAGCACAAACACAGTGCACTTGCAGCACTTTGATGCTCCCCTGCACATCCCTGTTAACTGCACGTGGAGAATGTCCTTGCCATGGATCCCATCCCTGGCACAGTAATTCTGACACAACAGGAGTCACCAATGTCACTGTTCACATCACTCATTTCTGCTCTGCAAAGAAAAGAAGATAGAGAGGGACCACAGTAAAAAGAAGAAGAAGAATCTCCCCCAAACAGTGACAGGTTGTGTGTTAGGAACAAGTTACAAAGGTCCAGAAACAGAAAAACCCCCAAAGGAATGAAACATAATTCACAAGCAAAACTGTTCCTTACCAGCACTTGAGGGTGGCTCAGGCTGCCAGTGCCACATCTTGGCTCCTGTGTCACACCAGTCCTCCAGAAGCAGGTGCTGAGCAGCCCTGAGTGCTGCAGGCTCTGGGCACCAACTCCTGTTCCCTTGGAGAGTGTGCTGAGGTCACAGCTGAGTCCCACAGGACATTCAGGTGCCTGCTGTGCTCCTATGAAACTGGTTCCCACAGCAGCCCACAAGAGGTGTTTGCCTTGACTAGAGCTGTGTCTGCTGTTGGTCAAATACTCACTTCTCATTCACTGTCAATTAACTGCTCAGGAAAACCAGCTGAAAGTGGGGATTTTACCAGGAAATTGTTGTGTGAGGTTATGCAGAACCCACCAAATACTCAAATAATCATCTCTGACACATCAGTGAAGTGCCTGGATTCATTCAGCACTTGATTCCATCCCAGCAGTGGTTCCACCCCAGACCACCACTGTTCCAAGGTGTTATTTCAAGGCTGCCCAGTCCTCTGGAGCACAGCACCAACACACAGTGTCAGAGTGGAAAGGCTTGTTCAGACACAGAGCTGAGCACTGACTGCCATCAGCTCCTTGTTTGCTGTGTCCTGTTCCCATCTCCATGTGGGATCATTGCCTGGGCTCAGGGAACAAATGGAACTCTGGCTGCAGGAACACCTCAGTCCCAGGGTGACACGACCTGAACGATGGCAAACGCAAGCAGTGGTTACTCTGCAGCTGGAGAGCAGGAATATGACACAGCACAAGTTCCAAAGCTGCTGCCCAGACAAATGCATTTCCAACATATTCCTGTAAACATGATATTCATATCTGTGTTCCATACACAAGAAAGACAACTTGTATGTTGTGCAGTCACAGAATAGGAGGAATTACCTTTAAAATGTGCATAAAAAGAAACATGTTACTGAGCCAAACATCATAATGAAAATTCTGAGATCATTATCCAGGAAGAAAGAACCCTTATTTTGAGACTTTTTAAACCTTAATAATTGACTGAGAATGACAAAGTATTCAGAGACACTTCAGTGGGTGTGGTGGGAATAGGACCTGCGTCTGAACTAGGAGAGATGGACCAGAGCACACACTCGAGATCACACCTGCAAGGAAATCTGCAGAGTATAACTCCCAACTCAAAACTGCCTCTGTCAAACAGCACTGCTTGCACAGTGTACTGATTGATTCCCAGCATTCTCAGGATATTGTCATTCGGTTCCATGACTCACATTTTACAACCCAGGCTGCACAGCACTCAGACTGTTTCAGATTAGCACCAGCACACAGTTCCTCCTGGGGCAGAGGCAGCACAGCAGGACAGTGCAGACCAGACACACAACGTGGCCTGTTCCACAAGGGCAATTCCACTTCCTCACCCTTAGGAGGGTCAGCACTGGAGCCTCCAGAGGTTTCACACCCTCCATCCTTGGAGGTTTTCTAGACCAGAGTGGCCAAAGCTCTGAGTAACTTGGTGTGAGCCCAGAGCTGGCCATGTTCTGAGCTGGTCAGAGACCTCCCCAGGTCCCTTCCATCCTGAATCATTCCTGAATATACCTGGAAATGTAAGCACATACTAATCTACTGAGTGACTTCTCTTTCCCCACATAAAAAGCAACACTGAAAACGACAGATCTGAATTATCATATAAGAAAAAAAGGGGCAAAACCAACCCCCAACTCTTTTATAAATACAACATAAACGATATGATTTCTCTCAACCACTTAGACATCCTTTCCTTTGTTCATCCACAAAGCATATTTTGGAGGCTACTCAGAGTAGTAACAGTATTATTGGTGTTTCATTTTTACTCAGAACAAATGTACACATGAGAAAGTTTATCTAACAGTGACAATTTTTCATACATAAGAGATCTCTTGAATTTCCATCCAAATAATTCTGGACAGTGTGTCAGATCCATATTGAATGCTCTGAGTGGCACATGTATCAGAAATAGTTCTAAAACTAGAACAGCCTTCCTGTGTAGACTGGCCCACCAATGCCATGTCCCAGTGAATTTGCAATGGCACTTTCTCACATCAATGATAGTGGTGTTAGACTGACACAAGAATTAGCCAGGGGATAATTCCCCAGCACTACCAGAAGTTGGATAACACTAAGGTTGAATTCTTTAAAAATTACTTACTATTGTCATAAGCAACACTAACTCTGAAATCAACATACAGACATAACAAAATGGGACAGTACCCAATAACAAATGTAGCTTGTATTTTCTAAATACAGGTGGAATTTGATCAATGTGAACTGCCAGTACCAAATATCACTGAGCAACTACATTTTGAATTCTCAAAAGGAAAACTAATTTATTTCCTTTAAAACAGTGAGACAGATGCTGGGGGGAAAAAAGCATCTTAAAGCATTTCCTATCTTAGGAAATAAAATGACTGCAGGAACACATCTGAATTCTCTTCACAGGTGTGTGATCACTACAAGATAATCACAGTTTACATTGTCTTCTGAAGCAAAAGACCTGAGGTCAAGTGATTCCAGCACCTGATCAATATTCCTATTTCATAAGAGCTGGAGCATGTTGAAGAAATTATTTCATTTTGAGAAAGATAATAGACTGCTTGAGTAACATGATACCATGGAGAAGAAGATCTTGAGCTTTCAGTGCCACTTCCATCACTGACAGTGGCGTAAAAAATATTTTTAAAAGAAGAACCAAACCATATGTGCACTCCAAGGAACATAATAAACTACAGTCTCCCATCACACACTACACAGACCTAAGATATGTAACAATATCACAGATGTCTCTTCCAACAGCACTTACAAATATTTCTTTTTCTTAAAGAAGTCACCAGTTACAAAGTATTCAAAAGGATACCAGACCCACAGAAAAACATTTGCCTGAAGTATGAGAAGTTATAACACAGATCCTAAATAAAAAGTGAATATTTACCTTGTAAAATTCATACCTTTTCCAAACAGGCCTGTAAAGTGCCAACCCATCAGCCTCCAACACGTCCACATGATTTCTTGGATATAAGATTGTCAGAGTTTTTGTTAGAAATACATTCTTTTTCTTTTGGAAGACATCTTTCTGCAGCATCAGAAACACCTTCCTGGACAGGTCATTTTTTTCCTCAAACCTTAACAAATGAATTTGGTTCTTTCTGAATATGGACTCTTTGAACTGGGCCCTTTTTGTTTCCAATAATCTCTTGATAAAAGGCAGGGTCATCCAGAATAAGAACAAATGTACTCTAGTTCAGACTGGCTATAAAAGGCAAAATGCATTAGAAGTTTTAAAACCACGTGGTTTGTTTCTGTATCTTTATGATTCCATATATTCTCCATATTCACCTGCAGAAGGATAAAAAAGGAAAGAAAAGGCACCTCAGTCTGTATTGCCTGAATGGTCCAGGGCTGGTAAGCAGAGCTTAGATATTCCTATATTGGATTCCCTTTTAAATTTAACTCAAGGTTGCTTCAGAGGCTGAGTGTGTTGCAGAGCTCCTGTGGAATTCTCTCCTCATTTGCAAACAGTGCAGCACCTTGTTTGTGCTCTGAGAGCTGCCAGGACCTGCTGCTGCAGAGCTGGACTGAGACAGAATGAAAATCAGCAAACACTTCTCTCCTGCCTGCAGGGTGAGATATTCTGGATGGGACTTGATTTCCAGTCTCTAAGCCTGACCAAAGCCCCCAGCTGGGGCTGTGTGTGTGTTCCCAAAACCTTCCCAACACTGGATCACTTGTACACAACCCACCCTGGTCCTGTGCACTGATGGGCTGAATTTCCTTCCTCTCTTCAACCACCCAGCAGAGTCATCTACCACTGGGATTATTTTAGCTCTTACTGAATCATCCTATCTGCTGAAGAGGAGTCAAGGATTTCCTGTTCACTGCCACTGTGCATTATGCCACTGAAATTATACCTCTTCTCAACATACTTGAGATGAAATTACTGGGGTCAAATACAGAACAAAGGACCTGTCCCAAGGAAGCCACACTAAGAGCTCATGTTGCCAAAATGGACAGTGTGGCTACAGAGCCAGAATTCACCACTGTTTGCTAAACAAGCTATGTCCCTTCCCATCCTCAGTGCTGAACTGTCACAGAACCCACATCAGGACATCCAAACACTGCAGATGAACAAGACAGGGAAAGGGTCACTTTGATAACAGCAGCTCCTACTGACAGAGGAACATCCTTCCCACCAGGGCCATGATGCCAAACACACTGAGCTGAAGAGACAACGGGCACAGGACACAGCCCAGGTTTGATAAAAAGAAAGAAAAAGATAAAAAAGGAATGGCTTTTATGATTCTAACCATCAGTAGCCCAAAAGTCACATTTCCCTTCCCAGTTCTGTGGAAGTGCCACGTTCCCTTGGCACCTCCTTTGCTGAACACCCAGCCCTGGGACCAGCACAGTTTCTTGCCTGGCATCGAGCACATTTGCCTCCAACCCAGGAAGCCTTGCCCAGTCAGCTCCTGGAGTTGTCCCAGTTGTCCCTGTGCCTCAGTTCCAGCTCTGCTCAATGGCCAGAGCTGCCACTGCAAAGCTCTCCAGGCTCCAGCAAAGGGCTGCTGCCATTTCTTTGCAGCACCTTAAATGTACTTGTGAAGTCTCCCTGAGCACACGGAGATGATTTGTGTTCCTCCTGCTGATGAGCTCTCAGATGATCTGATTAGAAGGTGTTTGATACTGGGCTGCTACTGGGAGCAAAGATACCCCTTCAGCTCTGCTCCTCCTGCTTTTTCCAGATAATCCTATTGAACAGCAGGTTTTCCCTTCGTGTGCTTCTGTGGCCTTTTGTCACGATACAGGAAAAAAATCAGATGACTTCTGCTCCAAACACCCCAGGCTTTTCCAGAACTGGAATGCCCTGAAAACATTTCTCACTCCTGAGCAAAGCAGTGCCCCCTGCCCTGAGTGCCCCTGCCCTGGGCAGCACATCCAAGGGGACACTCCCTGCCTGACAAGGCTCCAACTCCAGGGCTTTCAGGTACCTTTTTAATGCCACATCTTTAACACACTGTGGAAAATATTTCTGAGAATATGCTGCCAAGGAGAACCTCAGCGTGTTCCTGTTTGTTCCACAGCAATAAAGAAATGGGGGGGGGGAAGCACACTGTCACAACGAAGGCAGATCCTGAATTTCACCTCATTGTAACACAAATCCAGCCAGGTCAAACACAGTATGAAACAAGAGATGAAGGAACTGAAGTAGGTTTTTGCCTTTATGTGGCACCACATAATAGAAACGGACAAAGTCCTAAATGTACCAGATGAATCTTGAATGATTGCATTTAAAAATATTCAGAAGAATCACAATCATCTCTGTTATGCTGGAGGATGTGCAACATGATCTTTTTTGTTTATAAGAATATGAACTATTCTTCAAACTTCCTTGTACTTCTTTTTGCCTTTGAGCTCCCACCAGTCTTATGGTAGATTAGCTGAGACATTCCTTTCAACAGTTACAATTCCAGAGAGGCAGGAAACAGCAGAGAAATCAAATTATTCTAGAGCATCATCAGAAACTCAGCACTGCAAACTGGAGGTGGGGAGCAGAAAGGAGAAGTATTTACTGAGGCAACTCAATGTTTGACTGAAGAGGGAAACGCTCTCTGTTGCCTGCAAGTTGGGAAACTAAAAAATGAATACAGTGGAAAATTGATTTCCCTCTGGTATTATAAACCTACTATTCAGTGTGTTGGGAAACAACAAAAGAAAGGGAGAAGTAGAACAGCTCAGATTACACCCCCCTGGAAATGATGGCCCACAGGTTTAGAAGCATCAGAACAAAACTGAACATTTAACAAACCTCTGTCTTTAAAGGCTGAGCAAAGCAAAAACTGACCTCAGACTGTAACTGGCCAGACATGAAAAAACAGGATTTCAGTTCTCAAAACTGACACTCTTTGAACTAACAGGGAATGGTCCTCTCCTACTTTCAGCATCTAAGATCACTGAGACTACCCTGGACTGAAACAGGGAAAACCCTGTCTCTTGTGTCTTAAGAGACAAATCTCTGTAAACCACAATACCATTATGCCAGTAGTTTCCTTGCACATTATAATCAGCCTAACAGACTGGTAATGTAATAGTTGGCTGCAGATATGAAATTCTGAATCAATTATCAATGGAAATTCTATAACGAACTACAAAACCCCCCCAACAACTAAGATTTGATCTAATCTCAAAAGAGCAAAGTCCATCTTCCTTCACTTCATGGGTGTGAAGTATTTCACACAACAGTGTCACAAGAGTTTTAACTTACCTGGAAATGACAGTGAATTGCAACTAATAAACCTGAACACAAATGTAAAGCATGTTCTTAAATGCTCTCTGGAACAGGAGAAAGAAGTTCAGCTGTACCAAGTTCTTACCCACTGCAGCACAAATTATTATTATTGTTTTGTACTTCAGTGCACACAGAAAACCCACACAATAGTTCATAACACAGAAGTTACTTTAAAAATACACATACTTGCCTACTGTATCTTAGAGTGTGACATTAATCTTCAGAGTGCTGATAATGATCTTAGAGTGTCAAGAAACACACTTGTAATATTGTCTTTATAAAAGGGATTATGAATTGGGTTTGCTCTGATAGATTTCCCTAAAGGTTTTTTTGGAGAAAAGAGAGGTTTTCATTCACAAATTTTATCTACACAGAAAGCTCAATAAAATGCCAGCCATTAAGTCAGTGTATATAAACAAACTGCCTTACATGTGTTCAAAGTTTAACTACAGCACAGTGGTTAGGGGAAAAAAAAAACCACAAACCACCTATTTCAAAGACAGTTGTAACCTCTTGCCTTCATTTATAAATGGAAACAAGCTGCCACACGGTTCAGCAGTAAAAGAGGATAAAGAACTGATAATAATCCTTGTGCTCCTCACATGAACTCCACCAAGGCACTTGAATGAGACTTTTAAAGCTGTAAATTGTCCATCAAAGCACAGAATAACTTTTGCTAATCCTGGTGCCACAAATTACTAATCCATCTGGAAAGCTATTTTTTTCTCATGTGTTTACAAGGATCTAAATGTCGTCAGACAGGAAGACAACTGGGTTAGTAGCATGTTAAAAAAACCCCAACCAAACCTCAGAAAAACCAACCCGACAGAAATAACCCCCATGAAGCAGTGCCCCAGAATCAGGAGGATGGCAGCAGTACTCACAGCTCTCGATCTCCAGCGTGCAGTTCTGCTCGTCCAGGGGGTACCTGCGCAGGTCCATCATGCAGGCGGCTGTCGTGGTGATCCTGGGGAGGAACACAGGGGCCTGTCAGCGGGTCCTGCTCCAACCTTCCCTCATGCCCCTCACTGACAGCACAAACTGGGTTCCTCCAGGACTGAGGCTCGTGCCTGGCTCTGCTGGAACACTGTGCTGCTGCTCACCTGGAGCCCGGGCTGTCCCAGCCAGGTGAGCCCAGGTTGGGCACAGAGCTGGCCCTGGCACGGGGCTCTGCTGAGAGCCCAGCCCAGCCTGGCCAGAGCACCCGGGCTCTGCTGCCCCAGCAGGACAGAAATGGGAGCCCTGCACAGCCCAGTTGTACAGGCTGGCTCTGAGCTGGAAGGCTGACCAACTGAATTAGCTCCAACCAGAAATTCCAAGCTGAGGAGGGCACACACCCCCAAAATGGGAGCCAAGCTGGAGTGGATGAAGTGCCCACAGCAAACACCCCAAGAAGTGACAGGATCAGCAGCTGTGTCTTTGTAAGGTGGACATGAGAGACTGAGGGACTCAGCTGCCTTCGCAAAATCCTGTCCTCCCATATGAGGGTTACTGGTCTTTCATAGTATTTAGAATATTCAAGAACTGATTAAAAAACTTCTTGTACGTTCTTTGTTCTCACAAAACAACTTCAGAGAACTCTTTCATTTGATGGATGTCATACTTTCTCCTTAAATACCTAAGAAATGTTCATTAGAGGCAGAAAACTACAGCTGCCTGCTAAAATTGACTCCAAATTTACTGCAGCAATTGTTTTTGTGAGGCACTTAAAAATCTTCATTAGTACCCTCACTGTCCTATCCAACAATGCCTTACTGTCATCTCCAGAAAAAAAATCCCTGTATATTCCTTCAAATAAAAGACAACAAAAGCAGGGGCAAGTTATTCCTACAAACACTGTCCTGCCTCTTGTCAATCTGGACAAGATCTCTCAGTGTTACAGTTTGACCATTCCCAGATATTGGGCTCTCCAAGAGAAGGGAACCTTTTGGCACTGAGTTCTTTCTTCATTCAGTGTAGGGACACTCACAGAACTGCTTTGGAAAATACAATGTTTTCAATCAGTGTGGGTCACCACACATGCTTCAAAAGAAAGCTTCCTGGGGTGGACAAAAGCAAGGGAAAAAGAACTTTGGCTCTGCCCAATAAAAGCCTCCCAGCTTTTACCAAAACCAGCCAGAGGAACACAGGTTTGTTGGTAGCAAATGGAGCAAGCAGCAGCATATATTGTATGTAAAGAAAACCTTTGGCAGTTCATACTTGGTTCCTTATTTTTAAATTTAGAGGAAAATCTAAGGAATTGCCCAGTTCCAGTATCAATGTAAGACTGATTATTTTTGGGAAAACTTCAAGAAAGGCGCAGTGAGACCAGAAAAAAATTACAGGAGAGCAATGCCAATGACATGTGGGGATGGACAGGATCCAACTCCCTCCTGGAGCAGCAGAGGCTCTGCAGCTGTGGAGAATAAGCAGAACACCTCTCTGTGCCCTGGAAGGCAGCAGCCCTGCCCTGTAATTCCAGGATTACAGACACTGCAGAAATGCTGAGCAAGAAGGTGACAACTGCAGAGGGCTCCTCTGGGGGACTGGGACTGTGAGAACCTTCCAACACCTCTACTGCTCCAGCCCTGACAGATCAGGGGCCTGTGGAGTCAGAGACAGAGCTGAGGCCCAGGAAAACAAACAGACTAATTCTTCCTTTAAATGTGTGCAGGTACATCCTGCTGAAAGCAGCCTGAGGTTCTGCCCCAGGTTTGGTACCTGAGGGCAGAGACTCCCCACGAGCAACCCCAGGAGCAACCCAAAGAGCTCCCAACACAACCACAGACTGGCTCTCCTTATCAAGACTTTATAAGAATCCTCTGCTCACACTGACTGGGAGTCAGAACTCTCTGCATTATTCACTGAAATCATGTACTGCAGCTCAACCCACTGTTCACCTCTGCTTCTTGGAAAAAGTCCTTCTGCAGCCAGCTGGAAACCATCTGTGACAGCAGCACAACCAGCTGCAAACACAGGGAAATTCTGGGAACAAAACTTCCATGTGATGAGTCTCTCTCCTGGGCAATACTGGGTTTAGACACATGTCAAGGTTGTTAGACATACTAACAGATCTACTTTTAAATTAAAATAGATTTCTTGCTAATTAGAGAGTTCACAGAATTTTTTCTCCTTCTGCTTATTCACAGAAAAGCTTCCCTTGTGTGATCATAGTTTGAGAGTTGGCTATAGCAAATGATAAAAAATAGTGACATTTCTACAAGTTCAACATTAAGTCTAAACATTCAGCTGTTGACTACTATAATTTTTCACTGTAAACAGCACATAGAGTTTCTCAAAGCAGCTTTACAGGAAAAGAAGAACAGTTTTATTGACGCTGATGTCTCTATTTGAGATGAAATGATATGCACATGCCCCAGAATCTGTAACATGCTCTCTCCTACCACCACTTCTCACCATTTCTGGAGTATTCCAACCCAAGTGCCAGGAGTTCATTTTCCTGACTCCATCAGGAGCTTGTTATCCAATGACACACAGATACCTGCCCTTGTCTCTGTGCTGTGCAACCCTTGACCAGGCAGGTGCTCTCTGACAGCACTCAGTGCACTTGTTAAAGCCAGAAGGTACAGCCAGGACACAAGGTAAGAATGTGAAGGATGTAATGCTAAAGCATTTCCCAGTTGTAACACAAGAAAGGAAAAACCAGGAGCTGCTAAAGCCCAGTGAGTCCCCCCAGGAACTGCAGCCTCAGGAGCTGTGCTGGTGTTGATACTGCTGGGAAAGGCAGCACAGCAGATTTTTAGGAGGAAACTAAAACCTGTGTGCCTCTGATCTTCCTGGGGAAGCAGCTCTGCATTCCCTGCTGCTGGACAGCCTGTTTTGCCACGTGCATCCCCACAGGGAAGAGTCATGGCAAAATGGAGAGTTTGGCTATTATTTCATGGTAAAAGAATTCTGACTCAAAAGAACCACAATTTTCTGCCCATTTCCATGCAATGTGCCCTGCTGTACTGCCATATAAGTACCTTTCTTTAAGTGACATAGCATTTCCTACTATCCTGTCACTGTGTCTAAAACTCAGTCATAACATCATGTTCATAATTTAAACCCCTGCAAAAAGCACACATCACTCTGCAGTAAAATCTTCTGCTACAATAAACTCTGCTTTAGACTGAATTTATTCAAAACCTTTCTCTGAAGTAATATGTTCTCCTGTAGAAAATAACACCCACATAACATGGCAGAAGAGCTCAGAGGAGCACTTCACAATTTTAATATTTTATCGCTGCGAAATGTATCCTTGTCTTTCAGCATCCACCTCACTTCTCCCTTTCTACAGAAATAAATAAAAGGCAGAATGCTAAAACACTGCAGGACTTACAGAAAATAAAAGAATATGAGCATGATGAATAGTATGAAACAAGCATCCTTGGTATGAAGATCTAGTACATCTCCTCCACTTACACAGAGTTCACAGTCCTTTTGCTTTATTAACCATCACTGGAAACGCAAAAGTTTTATTTTCAAATATTTTGCAAAACACATTTCTTATTCTGGTTGTTAAAACCGCATGTCTACTTTACTCAGATAATACCAGCACTGAAATAAAAAGTGAATTATTTCCCCTTCTTTCTCTTAAAATTTTATAATGTTACCACCCAGATCATGCTGCATAAAATAAATCATATATAGAAAACATCTTTAATTCAGTTGTTCTGATATTACACCACATTAAATACAGACTCTCTCAAACTATCGAGGAGAGCTAGAACTTTCTAAGGAGACACATAAATTTGGTGGCTTTTTAATCAACTCTCAGTGCCAAAAATAACCAGTGCTGAGTTCTAATGAGTACCTGGACTGCAAACATACCCTACATTAACAGTTTTTATTCCAGGATCAGAAAGATACAACACTTAATTAATTAACTGAAAAGCCAGGGAAAAAAAGGAATCTCTTCTCCAAAAACTACACACTGCTTCAATGCACAGACTGTGCAGGTGGCACTGCCTCCAAAAACACAGAAACAAACCGTGCAAATTATCCCAGGAAAAATAGTAGGAACTTTCACAGCCTTACAGAGCAACAGCTCCAGCAGCCCCACAGCCCACAGTGCACCCCTGGCTCTGCACAACAGGCTCCTTCCCCCAGCTCTGTCTGATGTTCCATCGGGTCTCAGAGGGCAGAGACCCCCAAACCCCGCAGGGCTCGACCCCAGTGACCCCCAAAACCCCGCAGGGCTCGACTCCAGTGACTCCAGTGACCCCCCCAAACCCCACAGGGCTCGACCCCAGTGACTGCAGTGACCCCCCAAACCCCC